CCTCCATCAGGAACACTTACTCTGTTCAAATTCATATGTTGCCTTGTCTCGCAGCTCAGGGAGGGAGACGAACAGGCTGTTGCGCAACTTCAAAGACGAGCTCTTCAAGGTGTCTCACAACCCTCAGCTTCTTGCTGAAGACGACCATTTGGAGGAATTAGTAGATGAAACAACAAAGGTTTGGTGGGAGAAAATGGGCCGAGGGGGGTGTAGCTAGCAAACATGATATATGTTTATAATAGTTTGTCGCAGATCCGAGTTGCAGACATGCCAATTCTGAAGTAAGCTGAAGTTCCGACTGGGGAGTGCAAGCGCCGGGCCGCAGCGGGGCGGTTCGGCAAACTCCGGGAAGTCGAAAAGTGCTCACGAATTGTGGAAAGTGGAACAACCTTGTCAAGCAAGGTAATTTACAGCGTCAAAGTGAATGTAAAGTAGCGGTCGGAGACAACAATAAAAAATGGACACTGTGAGAGTTGAACCCACGACCTCATGCATGCAAAGCAGGCGCGCTACCACTGTGCCAAGTGCCCATGCAATAAATATAAATCATATTATATCTGACTAGACTGCATTGTAACAATGTCCTATCACGATATTCCCGCGCCTGTTTCAATGAAGACCACGACGATACCGCGACTGAGAAGCATGCCCCAAAGTTACTACGCGATATAAGATCCTCGAGCATACATCGACACCCTCACCTTTCCACCGAAACAGCGAACCTATATTTCATCCGCGATTACGATCAATTGCCTACAACCGATGGTCTTCTCTTTCTTCAAGAAGGCAGTAGCCATTCCTGCCCCTGTGGACGAAACAATAAGTCCGGATCCAGGACAAGAGGTTGCTTCAATTTCTTCAACGTCAAAGCTAGCAGGACTAGCTCAGACGCAGTTGCAATTGCGGACGCCGTCTCCCTCTGTCCACTCCAGATTAGCAGCCCAGGATCTCACCACTTCACCAGCTCCTACGACCTCCAACAATTCCACATACGATACCAGCACGCGCCGAGTGTCCGTATCGTGTCCGCCTGAACCTGACAACTTACTACCGGTATCAGATGCTACGCCTGAGTCGCTCAGTAACCTGGTCACATCAGTACCCGCAAAGACCCTGCACTCCTATGTCCTTACACGCCTGCCTCACGCGGAAGAGCCTGTGCTCAAGTCACTTGCGGTCTTTTTTGAATACCTTACCCCTCCACCTAAGCTTCATTGCATGCGGTGTCACAAAGACTACGTCGAGGTGGAGAACGATGACCGGAGCTGTTTGGTACCGCACGACGATGAGAGTGCCGAAGTTGAGCGCGTCGGGCGAACGGGCGAAGGAAGAAAGACGTCTATGGGAATGGAGTATGAGACTCTGTGGGGATGTTGTGGAAAGACAACGGAGGGCGACGGAAATCAAGGTCCGCCCGATGGGTGGTGTTACGAGGGAAAGCATACGGTGCGTCTTACCTTTATCATGGTCAATTTTCTTGTTCTCATAAACCTCTTAGACGGATATCAAGCGTGCGCGATTCCGCGCAGACTCGACACTGCAGAATGACAAGCTCGTATCGTGCCTGCGTCTCAATTGTCACGACGTACGTTCACAATTGCCTCGCGCTACTACTCGCAAGCGCGCTCGAGCTAGCATGAATTATAAAGAAGCGTCGGAAGATGAAGATGGGAGCGAGGGAGAGGCCGACAGCGGGATGGATGAGATCGTTGGAAATGTTAAAGTAAAGGCAAAGGGTAAAGGAAAGAGCAAAGCGAAAGCAAAGGCATCGAAGGCCTATGAGGATCAGATGGACGTAGATGGAGATGATACGGAAAGTCCGAGCAAGTCGATAACTAAAGAGACCCCCAATCCTCCACGGAAGCGAGGCAGGGCGCGGAAATCACAGTTGCTAGCGAAAGAAACCGATGAAGAGTCGGTCTCTGTCAAATCAGCTCCCGTGAATCTGGGTCCGAAACGACGGGGAAAACCTCCAAAGAGCAGGCCTATGATCGAAGACTCTGACGAGGAAGAGCCTCCCCGAGGGCGGAAGTCTGCGGCATCGTCGCCTACTCGCGGTGAACTGCGAACTCGTTCGGCTAGTCATGGACGGCAGGCTGCTGGTTCTAAGCTGGAAACGCCTGCCAAGCGGGCGAAATCAAGAACGAGAGCAGCGAATCGGACGGACGACGAAGAGGATCGGAATGAGGAGAAGCCAAAGAAGAAAAGAAAGACGGCCTCTTGACTTGCCAAACGTCGAGACGACACGCTAACTGGATGTACATGATGCCTTGACCACTCGTTTCATGACCTCAAATTACACAACTATTTCCCTCATTCATCTATAACGCAACACTCTGGGAACGGACATACCCTGACCGTCATTTTGGTTCCTGCAATTGCGATGCTAATATAATTTCTTCATCTCAACGCCACGCTGTCCCGAGCCAATATTAATATTCTCGTCGCGTCGCGTAATAATTATTTAGTACCGCCCAGTTACGTAAACAATAACTTCTGTTACGCTTAGCAAGTGCGCACAATATCGTCAACGACGTCCAACCGATTTCGACTCAGTTTCCTGGCATCGCCGGCTTTTTCCTAAGACGATATTGCCAAACTTCCTCGACGAAAACATGGAATGTGCGCCCAAGATCTGAAGTGCACGAGGCCAAAGAAGCGGGATTATCCGTATATGAACTAGTCAGGCCATCACGCAGCTCATAACTTGACCATCGCCGCCGCTTCGTCCAGACCCTTTCACGTAAAGATGTCCGTGGCTACCGAAACAGTACGGCAAGAGCCAGAAGCGACGCCAGCGCCGGTCGAGTTTCCGTGGATTAAATTCCCTCCATTCCCTACCCTGCCACCCAACATAAAGATCACCCCTTTCCAGGACTTCAAGCCCAAAGGGATACAGATTGCGCTTGATCCAGAGCCAGACCACGTAGAAGTCGACGGGGAGGGCATACCCACTGTGTCCTTACGTGCCAAGCACGATCTTACCGAAACGGAGCAACGAAAGAGGAAGAAAAAGCTCACCAAGACCGCCATCGGTCCTGGTGGGCAGGTGAGGCGATTGGCGTGGTTTGAAGAATGGGAAGGAGGAGAGGATCTCAGACGGTCGAATCCCGATCCGTACGTTGTATGGCTTATACACGAAGTCGATGCCGCTAACTTGACCGCCACAGATATCTTAACCGAGTCGATCGTCTCCATCAGGCTTGTCAAGACTTCAGAACGACCAGGCCTTGGCCTCAGCCAACTTCAGGCGTGCCTCAGCTCTGGGATAATGTAAGTTCGTAGACTGTTTGCTGCGAAACCACTCACGCAAACCTGTGGTCAGTGGCGTCTTTACCTTGGCATAATAAGCAGCATCCAGCCTCCCCCATCTCTCAAGGGAAAGAACGCGCAACCTGTTGATGAAGATGGGGACGATGATGAAGACGAAGACGGCGATATGGCGACTTCGCAGCCCAATCAGGAGAAGATTATTGTGGTTGACGATATAGCTGCTCAAGAGGTCGACCATGTTAAACAAGCAGAAGCCGCTCGTAAGCAGAAGGAACGGGACGAACAAGCTCAACTCAAGTTTGAGCGACGTCTTGCTGCAAAAGACGCAAGGATGAACTTTTTCTTTGATGAACCTGAGAATGCCGTCAAGATCTTCTTCTCTGCCCACTTCAGAGACAAAGGCTTGATCTGGTATGTTTGTTCTGTAATGTGGTGATGTTCGCTCTCGCTGACCATTTTGATGATAGGTCTGAACAGCGTTGCCGCGATGCCCCAATCCTTGTTAACTTCTTCATACGATTCGTTCTCCGGAGCCGCGTCTTCCCTGAGTACGAAAAAGGTCTGAAGAAAGCTCTCACCGTTACTGAGCTAGCACGGAGTGAGCTTCCTCAGACCTTTGTCATTGGGAAGGCGCTTCCAGACGGTTTCAGCGATGGCTGCGAAACTATCATGGGTCGTATGACTGAGGCTATGTTCTGGGAGGGTCTTGGCGACGAAAGCGACAAGGACAAAGACGAGCCGGAGGCGAAAAAGCGTAAACTGAATACGGAGTTGGAAGAGTTCAAGGCTGCCGTCGGAGAAACTGACGTTCAGCTTGTCGATGCTGAGACTATGCAGGTTGACAAGGAGATGCGCAAGGAAGCTGTGGCGGACAACGTTGACGTCAACGGTGTAGAGGTCATTCCCGGCTCATCTTGGGGCGACGTGCCAGTAGAGAGTTCGACTGTTGGCGATTGGCAAGCTACTGGCGCAGCTGACGGCACCGGCGATTGGGGAAACAGTAGTGCCACCGGGATGGGCACTTGGGACATGGGCACAACGGATGCTGATTGGACGACTCAAACTACCAACCCTCTGTTCCGTCTGTTGGGCCCCACTGTCTTACCTTTCACGCATACGACCGGTATCGTGGAACGCTCTACCAGACGCATCATCAAGATTGTCCCGCCTCCCGCTGACAGCGCTCTTCCACCAAAGAAGAAGGGTAGCAAAGAGAAAGCCCCAGCTGTAGTTGTCGAAGAAGACCTGGAGAAGCGACTCGGGTACATTGTTCTCGGTCCTTGGGTCAAAATCGGCAACCACGTAGCGTCCGATGTAACTTCACCTAAGCTTCTTCCTGACTCCAGGGGCGCCTTTGTGCCCATCCCAGAGGAGAAGGACGCTACTGAAGTGAAGCAGGAAGAACTCCCTGTTGCGGAAGGCAAGAAACCTGATCAGCCCGCGCACGACGCTACTAAGGACGAAATCGCTGTCTTTGTCGATCCTGCGGTGTTAGAGAAACTTGTCGTCGGCTTGGGGTTGGGTGCAACGTGGGTGCAACTTGCGCGGAAGGAACCCCCCGGCGACGATGGGCCAGAAGAACGCAAGGTGATGAATTGGTCGAAGAAGAATTCGAACAGAAGGAAGGGCGGGCCTGGTAAGAATGGGGAGCCGACGAAGTTTTGGTACATGGAGCAGTTGATGACTATTCTGCCGAGCTTCCACATGGATCGCTGCTACCCAGACCAAGACTGAGCACTCTTTAAGTTCCCAGTAGTGGATCCATGCGTCAATAATCAATGTTAGTCTGTATCTCCGTCCCGTCGAACCTGTAAACTCGTACAACTCCCAATGCTAAATGGAATTTTAGAGTTACACCTTCGAAGGTGGAATCCGGAAATTCAACTTTAAACTGTCATAAGCACAATATATATATGGACCGAGTTTGACAGAGGTCCGACAATATAAGCAGGTCGGGGAAATGGGTGCTTATAAACGAAGCTTGAGCTGCCATCTGCTTAATCCTCTTGACTTGAGAGATACTTTAAAAATTGAGTGTGTAACATTAATCACAAACAACACCAGTGATACAACGGAGAAAATCCTCTGCATCCCCCTGACGTTTTACGCGGAAAACCTGTATCGGTTGTAAACTTACCCTTCACTCTTTACAAACCTTTTCTCCTTAATAGTCTTTATTCACGGTCAACCTTCAAGCTTCAAGGGTTGGAGCCTTCCCTGCGAGCGGGGGTAATAGGGAGAAAAAAAATCCCTGTAC